AGCACGCATAGGCCAATGAGCTACATAAATAACATAAAGATCCATCTAGATTTGCGTCAATCATACAGTATAAAGTATTATTATTAGAAATCACTACGACGAAATGAAGGAGACCTATAAACACATACATATGTACATATATATGCACAACACGAAGTATGTATGCTGCCATCACAGAAATGTTGTTATGAAGATTTAAACTTTTCTTGATTTGTGATAATGGCATTACCTTCATATGCCAACAAGTTATCGAGCAATGGATGATGGATAACTTTCTACTAGATATAAATGGAATAGAAGCGCAGAATTTGTGCTATGCAGCACTGAAACAGTTTCATGCATGGAAAACATAATTAAAAAGCTCCTTCAAATGTGTAAACAAATATGTTACTCATGAAATCTAAGCCATATACATAGATGATGGTGAGGTATCAAATTTCTTATAGTTGTATGCAAAAGATTAAATGAAAAGTTGACACTAAATATGCGTTTTGTTACTCACAAGTCAAGGTCTACTGGCCAAACATAATAGAACATGTAAAACTTAATGAGCTCTTACATTATTAAATTATCTTCAACAATTATTAAGCAATAAATATTCGGTACGACCGATTTCATATTTTCATGAATACGCCATGCAGAACGCAACACCGCATACAACTACATAGACATTGCACATATGCACTCGTTTTACGTCTGCTAACTGCTTGCCGGCATTGATTGTGTCTGCACTTTTAAAGCATTCATTAACACCTACGGATTCTTCGTAATTGCATATGGTTCGGAAATATTGAAAAAAAAAAAATTAAATATGTGCAAATGTTAAAGAGAACTTGATTTTTTCAAAGCTTAAGTTAAGCGATTATTTTACGTATTAACATTCACATAAATTGAATTACAGCCACTTTAATGTGCTTTATTTGTCGGCACCACTCTCGCTGTTTGGTAAATATCAGATTTGGCTTCAGGCCTCCTAGGTTCATTCTAACTTAAAGACTTACTTAGGCATAAGATCAAATGCAATTAGATCTATTTCTAATTTAACAGGCCACAACGAGAGAACACAGCGTTGCCAATATTAAGTATTAAGTGTATAATTATCAAAGCTTCCTTAAAATGTATATATAGTGAATATAAATGGAACTTTTTAAAACTTTTTAACCGCTAAAGCGATTTTAGGCGGAGCTTATCCTGCAATTTGTGGTTTTGCGTCTTGATGTTTTTTCCAATAAATGAAGGGCCTACAGTTTACACTAAGCCGCTTTCGAACGGCTGATGATGTTTTATGAGGAGTTTTATATTAGAAATACACTCGGAGGGGTTGACATAAAACATATGATCAAAGCTATGAGATCTGGAGATGTATAGCACCGTGTCGAAGCACGAAAATATCTTTTTGATAAATGAATCAAATTTTATATAAGAAAAATTTGCATGTTTTGGTATAATTGTGCAATCAAGCATCATCATCATTAGTCTATACAACTATACTGTTCTCTGTGAGGATGAAGATTTATGTTTGTGATTTATGTTTCTGTTAGTCCCATAGATTCTCATGAATTACGCTTGAAATAATTTTTCATTTTGTCCGACAATATTCTTTCCATAAAATCAACAACAAAAAGAATTTTGTTAATTTATTATAAAGCAGGGTGATTGACGAAGATGCTACAACAACAATTTTTTTAATAGTAAAAAACAACACTTACTTTAATTTTCTTTACGATGCCCTCGAGTTATTGAGCCATTTAGCTAAGAATTTAATTTAGAATTTTTTTTATAAATCTATTTCATTTAGTATTGAGTGCTTTGATGTAGAATCTGAGAATCGAAAAGTCCGTTTTAAAACATGGGTTAAGCACAGAGTTTGAGTTTTGTCCAAATTTAGTCAGCCGATTAATTATTATGGCTTTTAAGCCTCTTTATAAGATATAAATGCCATTTATATCTTCGGTGGCGCAGTTTTCCTCTTTTGTTTTACTCGAAGGATTTGCTACAGCAACCGCCGTTGCTTCACACAATAACACCTTTTTCGATCACCATTTCGTAACTATAAATAGCATAACATAGTGAAAGCGACGTGCGTGCAATATCAAGAACAGAATGGGAAAATTCCTACTTATCATCTTCACTTTGCGCACTTTATGTACGTTGGAGGAGGATTTTCCATGCTTCGTCTGATATTTTGAATTCCTCATGTCCTCATGTCCTTTTGGGGAGCGCATTTATATCTCATATTTACGTATGTATTTTCTCCAATTTTTTGATGTGGTAGGACATTTGTCGCGTCAAGTTTGATTAGATTTTGCGGTTACTTTAGAAAAATGTTTATGTATGTGAATGTATACAAATATTTACTTTAGTCGGGCGCTTATTACGATATTACAGTGTCTGGCGAATCAGTCAGCCACTGGCTAAGCGACACGCGCACATATGAGCAATAAATATGTATGCATCTGTGTACATGTGTGTAATTTCATTCTAAACCAAAGGATATTTTTAATAGACGAGGTTTTACTTAGTCATGTACTTAATGTTCACATCGAGAGAAATACTCACAAGTTTTTATAAATCGTAAATAAAATTAAAATAGCGATATTTAAATTATTCGAAATCATTTATAATGTTTTAAAAACTTTTTTGTGAGTATCTCAAAAACTTAGACTTTTATGTAAAATACGCCTAAGTAGGCAATGTATTTGCGGAAACTGGAAAGGCGATAACTAATATTTTTACACAACGTTCAAACCTGATGAGGGATCTGTGAGAAAGTGCGCTTCTGGCAGATTTCACGTATATGAAATGATTTGTTTTGCTCTACTATTGCCGAAACTTACTCTCTTAGCTTGTAATTCCTCGGGCCACCAAACAGAATAACATACAAAGTGCGATTAACTGAAAAACATAAATAAATCGCCTTTGAATGTAAGATTGATCAGCATTTAATAATATATTTAATTACATTTTTTTAAACTACGGCCTACGTATTTTTACAAAATCTAATTACACAACTAAAATCTTATGAAACCAAAGCTACAACCTCTAATTGAATTATTTGCACTTTGAAAAGTTTAAAAACCACGCAGTCATACGATGGGTGAGTGCATATGTAATAAGGTTACTTGTGCTCATATACAAATATGTACTCCATGTATATATGTATTCACTTTCCAACAATAAATTATTTTCTTTGTTTAATCTCTTGAACTTATGGTGGCAATTTATAACATTGGACGGAGGAAAGTTCTCTAAATGCGGCAACCACATTATTCTTACTTTGTCAGCTGGAGACAAAGGCGCCAATGAATACCAGAATAACATAATCAGCGTGATAAAGATTGTGAAAGCGAAGGAAGAAAGAAGGAAAGGGAGAGTCCTCAAGAAGATTATCGATTCTATTTTCAGTGTTTTGCAGCGTTAAAAAAGTTTATCCAAAGTGCAGTCAGCACGTCAACAGTAATATGTTTCAATGTGTATGTACGTTACAGCAAATGTAGTAGCAGTTGTTGTTAAAGCCAAACAACAATAACAAACAATTAAACTGCAACTAAAGTGTCAACTTCAATCAAGTAGTTTCGAAAGAAGCTTAGAGAAAACCTAGAGCCAATAGCAAGAGAACGAAGGGCGAACGGAAATGCCATTAAGGCAGTTTTTTTCGCTAAAATAAGAAATCTGCACATTGAGGATGCGAAATCAGATAGCATTCCAACAGTGGCTTATCTTCAGCCATCCTGGAGTTGTGTAGAAAATTGTTTTTGTTTCATTCGAATTATGATGAAAAAAACAATCGACTGTAGATATAAATAATTAGTATTAAAGCTTTGCTTTATATGGGCTATGAAACTGTTCGGTTCGATTGGTATTGCACCGAGAGACCTGAGACCCCACATGAGGTTAGATAGCATATCCCAAAGATCTTATTTTGCAATGCCACTCGCGTTAAGTGACCTTAAAACTCTTTTGTCTACTCCGCCAATTATTGTCCGTAGACCTGCAAAACAGTTCGTTTTCAAAAAATACCTGACAACACAGCGTTTAGAAAATTGATTTGTCTTTAAGTGAGTGCTTTTTAGCTACATACCCGAATATACTCCACATTTCCATTATTTCCGGCCTAATAAATGATTCTTAGTTAAACCGTAATTGCAACAATAAATATTTAATCTTGAAAGTAAACTCCAAATGAAGGTGGTGCATTAAGAACACAAAGAAAGAGTTATAAATGGGTAATTTATATAGCAACATAATGCACCGACGACTCTTGTAACAATGAAAAATTGCAGGGAGCGATGCAATGAGAACAACGTGATGGACAAGAAATATGGCCATGTACTTAAGCTAGCAAATGATTGGAAATATATTCTAAAAATATGTAAACAAACAGAAACAGACAACAGTGCACAAGGTATTGGAGTAGGGAAATCGGCAATCAGAAATGTAAAAGTGGTAAAAGAAGAGAAATCATCAATACATGTCCACAAAAGCAGCAGCTATTTATGGTTTGAGGTGTTTAAGTTTTTTGAAATTAGTTAGTTACCCCCTTACGGTTAATGATATTCCCTTTCAAGGAGTGAATGGTTTGATCCGCATGAATCACCTTAACCTATTCTAATTACGTCGTGTGGAATGAAGAGTAACTGTAACTTAACTCTGGAATAAGATAGGATAAAGGAGCCTTTGGATTGAGGCAGTTGAGCTAAATGCTTTAATCAAAGCCCTTTAATGACTGTGTTTCAAGTTTCTATCTACCCGAAACTCGACGACTATGAGGTATTAAGCTAATTTTGATAAATGATTTCATTCCATACGAACTTGGCATGCAAATATGAGGCCAAGGCTATATTATTCCCTTCTGGCAATACTATGATTTTTCAGCCAGCATTGTTGAGTAACATAGTAATAAAACCTTCATTTTCATATAAAGAAAATAGCTTTCAATGAAAATAAAAGCAAAATAGACTCAAACTTATTAAATATATATGTTTTCTTTTACTTTCTAGCGCGGTAGTCGTTATCACGCTCATCGTCACAACCAACGCTCGCAGTCTTTAAATCGCGGTCAAGCGCTTTCACAAGCAGATGTAAGCGGAATGTGGTGACATCGGGGTGCCTCTGGTAAAGGTGAGTATCCCAAAGTAAATCTGTTCTAATTACGAGAAATCCATATTCTGTTACTGCTTCATAAATTGAACGCTTTCAAATGCGTAGAATTCCAATGACAGCAATAGCAATAAGGAGCAATGCGTGCCAGTTCAGAAACTGTTTCAAATTAATCATTCGCGAAATATGGTTCATTTTCGACCTCAATCAATCCTTTTGTTATAACTGAGTCCATTTCGACAAATTTGGCGAAAAAACATTACCCAAACCTCGGTAGAAGATTAAAGAAATATGCTTACATTGAATCGAAATCCAGTCATGCAGTATCTGAATACATACGAGTATATGGGTTAATGATCGGTGACAACCAAACAAATGATTATTAATTAAATATCTTTCCTTCCAGCTGCTGGTGGACAGGGTGGTTGTGCGAGCTGCGCCATGGGTAACAAGTTGAGCTGCTCTTGTGCGCCTCTGATGCGCAAAGCGTATCGCTACGAGGACTCACCATGGCAGACATCACGTCGACGTGACGGGCATTTATTAAGGTAAATAACTCTAGGAAAATTAAGGCAAAAATGTACGTCAAAAATTATTAGTATTTAAATTTATTTTTGATTTGTTTCCTTTATACTAATGAAAAGCCAACATTAATTTCCTTGTATTTGTTCTTTCTTTTATCTCTTTCCTTTGCGCCGATTTGTTTTTCCTGTGGTCTCCTCTTCTCTTCTACCAACGACTCCACCAACGCTCCACAATCAACAACCAAAATCAACACCAACAAATCGACCAAAATATACAAAAACAACAATATAACATAAATTATTTTCAAAAACATTGAACGTATTAATACAAAATATCAAAAAAAAAAAAAATTGGAAAATACACCTAAAATTTGTTCATCAAAATTATGTTCACCAAACAAATTTTATTAAATTGACAACTAACGATTGAACTATCAATATATACTAATTTTACAAATGCAACAATGAAATATAACAACAAAACATTCCGCCTGTCTTTTCGTACTTTTTGTACTTCCTTTTTGCATTTTTTATGTTAAAAAATATTTGTATATATTTATCATTCACGTATACCTATACATATGTATTCAATGAAATGTGGTTAACCTACGCCAGTTCATTCAGGTTGTGGGCTGAGGTATTTCATGTTTCGGCAAGCGGTGCCGGTACCGTTAAATGGCAACAAGTATCTGAAGATTTGGTTCCTGTTAACATAACATGCATTCAGGACTCACCGGAATGTGTATTTCATATAACGGCATATAATAGTCAAGTGGATAAAATATTGGACGTTCGACTTGTACAACCAGGTGAGTTGGATTCATTATTTTATTCTGAGGAGATGGAAAATAATTAAACTGACGAACCTAGCATAAATTTCACATTCTATTATCGGCGGTTGCAAGCCCCGTGGATAGCATTACATACTGAAATTGGGAAGGCCAGGGTTCGATTACTGGTCCGCCCAGCATCTAGAAATTCCAGAAAATTAATTTAAATAATGAATTAAGTTAATTTTTCTAATTACGGTCGGATATGTCAACCCCTCCGTTTGGAATTGAATTACTATAAACTGCAGGGCCCTCCATTTCGTTGTTGTACTTTTGTTATAGTTATAAATTCAGTTTAGCGGCTCACGTAGGCACTCGCAAAAAACGAAAGGATGGAAAGTACTGTCGGGCGAATACGCTTTAAAACAGACAAAATAATTTTAAAAGAATTTGCATAACAGTAAAAGTATAGAAAATAAATAGGTACACAATATTTCGAGGATTTGGCTAGCAAAGAATCTGTTTAATTATAATATTACTCGCTTCTGAATCTAATTTCCAGTGCACTGAAATCTATTTGAAATAACTTTTAGGCACTCGTATTGGTCAAGCATCGGAATGTTTTGTCTACTGGAAGGATCCTATGACCAATGATACATGGGGTCTCAATTTCACTTCTCCCATTGATGCCAAGCAATTCCGGGAATGTTGTGTAAGTATTCTCATGCGGATTAGCAAAGCCAACAAATGCAAGGAACTGCTAGCAATTGCCTATATGTCTTATAACTTATCTGTGCTCTTTTGAATAAGCACATGTCCATACACGCACATACATACAGTGGGCAATACATGCCCAGTTGGAAGCTTATCTAAGCTAGATAATGCCCTGTACTATTTTATTACTATAATATTTATTGTAAATAATACAATATACCGCGAAATGTAGACGAAAAGTTATCTGTTCGAATATCAGATTCCTGACAGGATATACATTTCTATATGGATGTGAGGATGTGTGTTTGTGCTTATTTGGAATGGCGGCGGCAGCAACAGTCCGGTATTGTTCGCTTTGCTTTTACGTGTGTCCGACAAGGTTCAGTGCAATATCGTAAAAAAAGATCTGTACAAATTCTAAAACGAGATTTCTAAAAAGTGAATTAATTAAACCAATGCGATTATTGACATTTATTTTTCGAAAATGCGATGTTTTAAAGATCCAAATAGAGAGAAATTATTAAATGAAGAAACCATCCTGAAAATAAATTTGAATTTTAAGTAATAATTTAAAATTATACAAATAAGTCTGTTAATAATTAAAACTATTACACTTTTAGATATAGTATTCTTATCATAATATCTATTGGTAACTACTGTTATATGTAATCTTGAGTTGAGTCATTGTATCATTATCATTTCTTTGGAGTATATATGTACTTGATGATTCATATTACTACATCTAACACGCTTATCTATTAATACTGGTATTTGCTAAAGTATATTGTAGTATCATATACCATTCAGTAGCCCCACCTAGTAATTGTCGGTCATATCCCTTCATGTATATCGGAATTCATTGATTTAATTTTGTATTAGGTTGAGATATAAATTAGAGATTGGTATTAATTTCGATTCCGATTGAAATTTAGTAATACTTTTATTTTGGTTATTATAGATTAGAAAGAAAAATATCTATACTGTTCGGTATGCCTTCCCGTGATAGCTATGGTGATGGAAGGCTCTTAGGGTCCCTCAGGTCCCACTTCACTTTCTGCAAATTGAAATTCAGTAATCCTTTGATTTTGATTGAAGTACTACAACTACTACTGAATCAGCGTTTAAACAGAGGGACACTGCTAAATCAACTCATGCGATCGGTAGAAAATTGGATGGGTCTCTGCCTTCCCCTTCTGGTACTCACAAATTTGGGATTAAAGTTAACATAACATTTGATGACCATGAAAGATATAAAAAATGCTTATTTTTTAAATGTATGAACTCATATTTATCTTATAATAGTTAATATCAAGACTTCACTCAAATATGAAGCATACTAAAGAAGAAGAAGAAGAAGAAGAAGCCGATTAGTTTTACTAGATACAAAATAAAACAAATGTTTAGTTCAGTTTTATAGAGGTTTATCTAGGATAAGGTACTTCTTTGTTGAAGAGTTTCTCTTAAAATTTATATACTTTAAAGAATTCTAAATTGACCAAGTTTAGAAAAAATATCATGCAATGCAATTCACCATTGTGCTGTCCTGAAATGGATAACCAACAGTAGCAAATTATGCCAAATATATTAGAACTATGAGTCGACTTAGCAAAATGAACGATTTTCGATAGCGTGAAGCTAGACAAGATTCTTTAGTAAAAAATTATATAAGGTGTGCTTATTTGGCACTGTCTTTTAGACGGAGTTGAGAATTAATTCAATTTAGGGAGCATTAAAATTCATTCCTTTACATATATGTGTTTGTGTAACTTAATCAAAAATCAAAGAGCTTAATCATCACTTGATTAATCATTATATTTTTTATATTCTTCTTTCATTTACAACATTTTCAGGTATCTTACATTGTAAAGAAATACGTTAGTATAACTCTATGTAACTTACATTTCGCTAGAATTCTCCTTTTTTTGTTTTCCTATCCCCTTGTGTTATCGTGTACTTAAGACTCCATATATTTTTGGTTTCCCCTCAAAGGGAGATACCCTTCTTACTCAACCCATTAATTCCGTCGTTGAAAGGAACTGTGTCATTGCGGTTAGTACACAAAATTTCACAAAAAAAAACACACACACATATACAGCAAAACATGTTACTAATCAATCATTCTTTGTGCTTAGTTTTCAAATATATCATATATTAAAGTACACTAGAAGCTTATGTATCAGATCCGGCATGATAAATTTTGTTCCTTGTATAATGATAAAAAAAACGGTTAATTTAAATCCTATGAGAAATTGTATAGATTTCGATGAAATTTTGGTTAAAAGCAAGGAAAACGATACATTTTTCGAAAAGAGTCGTGTGTTTTTCTTCTGAAAAGAGCCTAACAAACAATTTCACACAAGTTTCTCTCTTACTTCAGTATGGCAAATTTTAAAAAATCGTGTAATATAAAAAATGGCCTACAGAAATAAACATTTTGCACCTTCTTGTTAATACGTTATAGCCCCTCAACCCTCTTCATCTATTTTTCCTGACATCTTGTTAATAATTTTTCCAATTAATTTGTATCTAATTCGATATTTTCTACTTGTATTGTCTCCTTTCGATTAATGTTTGCTTTGATTTATTTTCTACAAGTCGTTAATAAATCTCATTATCATATTTGTGTATTGTTAGTTCGACTTTCGTATACCTGTTTCACAATTGCAAAACAAATTATTATTCTCAAAAATATCTTTTCACTTCATGTTATGTTTAAGCCGATTACTCAAAATAAGTACGATTATATTGTATGTAAATAAGCATAATAATTTTTCGTTTTGTAAATGAATTTTTTGTCGAAAACGAATAAACACTAAATTGTTTATATTTATATTGTATTCTTTCATTCTTTTTCTCTTCTCCTTTCATCATTTTCAAAATGAAAATTTCAAACAAAAATTTAAACCCTAATTCATCCTCACAATCACTGAAAATCACTCAATATACGTACTTTATCCACATACTTTTCACTCAACTCGCATTATTACTCACATGCTCGTTTCCCCCCACTCGCTCTCTTTTTCTCTATATATATATAAATATGTCTACAAAATATATATATGTATCTTTTCATATTAAAATATCTATTTGTTCATAAAAAATTATATAAATACAAACATGTTATATATATATATGTATTTATAATATATACAAAATATATTTCTGACATATCAATTATATAATAATTTAAACACTTCAATAATCATTTGCATTTTACGGTAACGCGGCGGTTTTAATTACAAATCTTTCCATAAAAATCTTTAAAACTTTTATTCGAAATAAAAAAAAACTACGTTCATTTCGTCGCTGCATTGATGAAAATAAAAAATGCAAAAGAAAAATGCAAAACGATTTAAAACAATCGCACGTATCCTATACTACAACACCCTCTCCTATCCTATACATCCCATGCCCGATGACGAGCCCTGAGATTCGGCTGTTGCTGCTAGCCAAT